AATGCTGAATGAAACTAGGAAATGCAGTTTCAGACTGGGTCAAAGGAGGTCTCATGGGGAAGGTTATATGTTAGCAAAACCCTGAAACTGTGAGGAAATACGCTATGTGACTATTCGGATATTCCAGAGAAAGGTAACTGAATATGCTAAGGCCCTGGGGCTGGACTGTGTCTCTCTATGCATCCCTGAGGGTTGATTTCTTCTTTATATCAGGAAACAGCCTCTTATACTCCCTGATGAGGACAGTGGCTTTTGAGTCCCAGTATACAGTGACCCTCTTTTCTATGAGCCACAGGGGTAGCAGTTATATTTGCTCTCCGTCCACCTATCTGTCTTCCAAGAATGTCTGGGAACAGTCTGCTCTGTTGTCTAATAGGGCTGGGATGTGGCCTCTGGAGCCACGGGATGACCCCAGTTGCACTTCCAACAGTCACAGAGAAGTAGAGAAAACAGCTGACAAAGAGATGGAGAGAGAGAGAGAGGCAGGCTGAGGCAGAGGTCCGTGCAGGGAGAGAGAAACGGAAGAATCCAATGCCGAGACACAGATGGGTGGGGTGGCATGGGGCAGAGACCCCTCTGGGGTTCCTAACAGCTTCAGACTCCTCCTAGCTCCCTGCTTGGCTCGAGAGGCCCCCTCTCTTCCTTTGGAGTCCATGCGAGCGGCCTGTCTCTCTAGTCAGCCCCACCACCCCTCCTTCTGCTGAGCTGCACAGCAGCCCCTCGGAGACTTCTCCGCTCCCCTCTTCAGCCCTGGAAGGTGCTCTCTCCCTTGACCACCTGCCTTCCCAGTGGAGTGGCCTGTCCCAGCCTGTGCCACGCTGACTTTGGGCAGCAAGGTAGAGCAGAGGGGAGCCGGGGCCCCTCTGATCTGCCACGTACCAGCTGAGAGGCCATGACTGAGTCACTGCAAGGCCTGTTCTCTCTTCCCCTTCAGCGTGGTCACAGTCACGCCCTGCCTCCCTCCCTGCGCTGCGCCACAGTCCTAGCAATAGACTCTCGGAGGAGAGCTCTGCTGGGCATCACATGCCACACAACACCGAGTGGCTGTGGCCCCTCAGCCCAAGCCCAGATCCAGCTGGCTTCCCTGGGCTGGACGGCCCTGCCCCTCATCTTCGCTGGCTCACCTCACCTCTTCCCCCAGCCAGGTTCCACCCAACCACTCTGCCTTCCTCCTTGCTCTTCTCCCAGCTACCAAGCTTTCCTGTTCAGTTGGTTACTCTGACTCACCCTTCTCACCACTGGCCTCTCAGGAGCCTGCAACTCCCCTCTAAAGCTCTTTGTTCTGTAAAGGCACCCTTCCCTGAACGCCTCAATTCACCTGCAAGTCCCCCACCCTCCCAGCCATCCCAGAGGTCCCCCACCCCTACACTCAGGTCACAAAGATGAGACCAGCTATGGCCTGGAATGCTGGACCCTCCACAACATCTGCATCAGCCAGTGCTTACTAGAGAAGCAGATTTAATGCAGGATACACAAATGTGTATGAATTTACAAGATTGACTTACAGTGGCCGAACACAGAGTCGGGGGTCGAAGAGTGCAAAAGGTCCGTCTGTGCACTGGGGATCTGAAAGGTCCAGCTGAAGGCCTGGAGCTCCCTGCAGTGTCCCGTGCGAGTCCCTATCAGGAGGCCAGAGAGTCTGCACCGGAAGCCAGGAGATGACGTCCGAGGGGAAGGCAAAGACTGGAGCTCCTCCAAAGAAACAGAAGCGAGCCTTCCTCCCTCGTTTCGCTTTTGTACCACTCAGGTGACAAGCCAGCCTAGCGTGGCTCTCCTGTCCTCCATAATGCCCTCAGCCTCACTCACAACTGCACTGATCCAGTTTAGCTGGCAGTTTCTTACTCAAGTTGACACAATCCAACTATCACTGCAGCCTTGTTTCCAAGGGAAAATACCAAATGCTCCATTCAGTTCAGCTCCTCATCAGCAGTGACCCATGGTGACAACAGGAGGGCCGACTCTGAAACCTAAAATACTACTGCTCAGCTGTCTCTCGAGTCTAGTTTTTCCTCACATCAATCATTCTCCCTGTCTAGTTTGTCACCATCTTCTCTCATAACTACTGTCCCCTCTCCTAGCTCCTCTAACCTGAAACTCTTCTCTCTCTCTAACCACGCTGTCTTCCCTTCTGTCCCCCACGTGAACCTTTTATAAACTGATCTCCTCCCTGCCCAAATGCCACCTCGGACCTCAGACAGCCTGTGAGATGGAACTCAAGTGCTTCGCTTGGGACACGTGGCTCCTCTCTTCCTCCCCAGCCTGCATGTTCCCCTCTTTCCTCCCAGGTGGCCTCTCCGAGAATATGCAAGCTGTCAGATGGGTAGCTCCTTAGTTTTTGACTTCAGCACCGTCCGCAGTCTGCCTCTCCCTCCTGTTGCAAGCGAGGATGGATCCTGATGACCTAGCCCAGCCCCTCCTCCAGGATGGGCCCTATCCCACCTCCCTCCATCTTACACTATCCTTCTTTCTTCTGTATCTTCAACCCCTCCCCCTCCTTTCCAATAACATTTCAAGCCACTGGCTTCTCTTGCATCTTAAACATTTCCTTGATCACAGAGTCCCTCTCCAGGAACTGCCACCCCCTCTCTCTTCCCCAGCTCCAGAGTTGTCCTCTCCATTTCCTTCCTTCCCATGTCCTCCATCCTGACTTTGGCCCTACCCACTCCACGCCACCAACACATGTCTCTCCAAGGAATCAGTGATCCAGATGCTAGACCAACTAGACCGTGCACCCCTCACCTCTTCTGACGTTGAGGAACGTCGGACATGTTGACTGCTCTGGACTTCAAGACTCCCCCACCCCTAGCCTCTCCTTCTACACTCTCCTCAGCTCCTCTTCTGTCCTCGGTCAGCAAGGCTGGAGAGCCACAGGTCAGACCCTAGACCTTGTTCTGTTTTCTCTTTGATAAACAGACCGTACACAACCCAGATGCTACCTCTGCATCTGTGACCCTCACAGTTATACCCCAACCCAGACTCTCTGAGCTCCAGATCTGAACACGCAACTGCCCACTGTCCACTTAGACGACTCACAGGTCCCTTAGATCAACATAACCGACTTGGATTTATGTCAGACACTCTGCAGTTGGTTTTTCTCCAATGTTCTGTCTCTCCCTGACCTGCCCACACCAGAACTCTAGCTGTTCTTCTTGGTGACTACTATCTATTCTGCCTCCTAAAATATTTGATTTCTGTCTGCATCACAATTACTCTAGGCCAAACTACCATCCTCTGTCACCTGGACACAGCAATGTCATCATTCTCATCCTCCTTCCCTCCTCTTTCTCCTCCTTCCTCTTTTTTTTTTTTTTTAAGCAGTGTCCTAATTCAAAGGTTCAGGACCTGGATATACATTTAAGTCATATGTATGGCCATTACCCATGTCTCATCCCAAACAATGGAAAATGGAATCTGTGGAGTGGGCTTCAGTCCGCCTTACTCCAAGCTCCCCGATGACTCTAACCTGTACCTTGGGTTGAGAATCACCAGTCTACATGGTCTCCCCATGGCCATTACTCTTCCTCTCCATTTTCCAGGAACAGCCAGAGGAGTCTTCATATTGTATAGTTCACTGTGCCACCCCCCTGGCTCTTAGGGTACGATCAAAGCCTTCCCGACCTCTGCCACCTGGCTCTGCTCATCTCTTGCAAGCCTGGGCTTCTCTCCTTTCTGGGTTGCCTTCGGGCTTTGGGGACCCTGTGCTCCTTTGCTTCAGGACGTCACACATGCTGTCCTTCCTTCTTGAGTACTTGCCTAATCAGTCGCACTGAGCCCTCACGGGTCCACTCAGCTAACCCCTCCACAGCAGGCCTTTGCCCCACAGCTGCTTCTTCCCCTCCCCAGATTTAACACATTGTAAATATTTAGCAATCTGTGTAATTTTGTTTGTTTGATTTCCGTGTTTGTTTAATTGTGATTTTTGTTTGTGACTTTTGTTTAATTTCTGCTTTTCCACTAGAATGCAAGAGAGACCATGTTTGTCTGTTTTGTTTTTTTCTGAATTCCTAGAACTTAATCCAAAGGCCTGGCACCTAGTAGGTATTTAATAAAACTGTATGGAGTGATGCTCCTGAACAAACGCCCCATAGCTTGGCACACTGTTCCTTCCACCTGGAATGCACCAACCCTGTCCATAGCCTCTGTACTTTTTCCACTAGCGAGCTTCTGCTGATCTTTCACCACCCGGTTTAAAAAGCCCATCTCCATGATCCCTTTCTGCTTTCCTCAGCTTCTCTGTCAGCTGATAGTCTGTATCCAATTTGGTATTTTAGTGACTTGCCTCTGGATCTTCTACCTGCTGCAGCTGGGGCTCAGGAGCCCCTCTTTTTCTTCTGGAGTTGATAACTTTGTTGCCAGCTGAACGGACAAACACATGAGCTAAATTACTTAACTGTAACTCTAAAGTGAGGAGTCAAGGCACAGATTGCTCCCCAGCATGAGGGCTAAACTCTTGGGCCAGGCCCAGAGTTCTTGTACTATACCCTCTCTGGCCAGAGCTGCCTGGCTTTTCCTCTTGGGCCTCTCCAGACAGGTGTGGAGCGGTTCTTTGAGACCCACTATGGCGGGGTTCTGGAGTGGGGAAGGTTAGGACTCTGGGGTCACAACTCCAGATCTCCCTGCTCTGTCATTGTTGTCCTGATCTCCCCAGGGAGCTTGACTCTGCTTTCAGGCCCCAGGTTGGCTTCAGAAGCAGGGTGGAGGGCAGAGCCGGAGCCCAGGGTGAGCGTGGGGATGCTCTGCATCAGGGCTCAGGCAATGAGGAAGAGATTCTCAGCAGTGGACTCGGCTGCCCTGCCCTGGGAGTGCCTGGCATTTTCCATCTGACAGCCACTCACCCAGCCGGCAGCGCTCAGCTAGAGGGAGCCTCCGAAGCCCTCCGTGCATCAGTGGGTGGGCCGGCAGCTGGGCGGGAGCAGCTGTGGTGGTTCACGTCTGCTGACCAAGTGGAGAGAAGCTGGGTGTGCGGGGAGGGAGGGCTGGCCTGAGGAAGCCATCTGGGGGACACGGCTGAGGGCCCCAGCCTGCAGCCCCACCCTATGTGTCTCAGACCCACTTTCTCTTCCCTTGACCGATTCCACTGCCTGGATGACATGGGGCAGGAAGGGGAAGGCTGCCTGCCATGTGGTAGGAGCAGTGCAGAGGGCGGGGACCTTTCCCAGCTGAGAGAGATGAAGCCCAGGTTGACCTTGTGGCCGATAACAGCAAAATAGGAGCTGACCTTTACCAACCATTTCCTAAGCAGCAGGCCAAGCGCCATACAAACTGCCTTATTGAAGACCCTGGCTCTACTGGAAAACGAATTCTTTTAGTTGCATTCACCTCTTGCAAAGTCCTTGGAGGATGCAGGAAGCTGAACTTCAGGGGAGGCACCAAGAGCGACTACCTAGACCCTCTCTCTCATAGTTCCAAGGTAGGGGGAGTCCCTGGCTGTGCCCCAGATATTTCTGAGTGACAGCCTCACCAGCAGCCCCGCCAGCCCCAGTGGGCATGACCTGCCAGTGCCTCCCCTCCAGTCCAGGCCACCTTCCTCTCCTTCCTGCCTCAGGCTGCCCTGCTGTCTCCATGGTGGGAGTCACCATCGCTAAGCCCCGTGCACACAGCCTGGAGAGAGAGGTCCGCAGACCCTGACCAAGGTAGGCAGGAGACAGCGGACACACTCTGTCACTTCCTGCGCCTGAGGGGGCCTGATGGCCTTGGGGCAGATGGCCTCACAGTGTCCAGCTGATGGCCTGGTCAGCACACCCCCCTGCATGGGCTCTCCTGGCTTCCCGCCTCTCCCCTCGTGCTTTGCTCTTCCTTCCCAAGCTGTGGCTTATTAGGTATAAATGCACATCATCCACATTAGGGGAAAAAATACAGATGGCTCCAGGCTGGAGAAAGAACATGGATTTTGTTCTGTGATGCGTAGGAAGGTCACACTCCCAGCTGGGCAGAAGATAGAGGTAAAAAGCAAAGGCTCAAGACAGAGGGTCTGGATGATGGCTATGGCACTAGTCTGGGTGGAGCCAGGGCTGATCGGGCAAACTTGGGGTACTTGTCTGGTATTTGGGGGTTGGCTGCCTTTTTCTGGAAGAAACAGTGAGAGAGGGAAAGAAATGAAGCCTGCAGCTGCGAAGCTCATCTACCCCCGGCCCATCTGTTCCTGAGGTCAGATTGCACCTGGGGAGTTTCCCTCATCCTGTCAAACTCCACCAACACCTGCATGGAAATCCTATGCTCTGTCAGATACCGGGGTTTTAGGGATGCCTCTTGGATGGGGGCCCTGAAATCCAGTTCTGGAGAAACATTGCTGGAAAGGACTACCTGTTTCAAAGGTGCTGCTTAGAGCCCTGTACTCTATGCTCCCTAGGATGCAGTCTTGGCTCTTGTGCTTCTCCCCTGAGAAAGGATTTTCCCTGAGACTACCTGTTGGCCTGCTCTCAGAGAGCTTCCCTGGTCCAGCCCTTCCCTCTCTCAGGTCTGACTCTCCTGCCCTCTCTGGCTCACTCTCCTCTGAAGCAGGCGGCCCACAGGCCACTGGGCCCCAGCTTACACCCAGGACCTGAGCAAACTGTACCCTCCAGAAGGCCAAGGACTCCTAACTTGCTATTTCGGCACCCAACAGTATGTTTTAACAGGCTGGGTAACAGAAACCAGTACCAACTTGCTAGGTGGCCAAGGAGGCCCTGCACTGTGTTCCACTCCCACAGGTTCTGGGTTGGGAGCCTGCCGACCTGGCGCCTTCTCGTCATTCGACCCACAGCTCTCCCTCTGGACACTTTTCTAGCAGCCCGTGGGGCTCCGACAGGAACACAGTACCAGTCTTTCACCTGGAGGCCTGCTCTCCTCCACTTTCTTCGTGTGGTGGGGACTGCCTGGGCCCTGTTCCACTGCGGTTCCCGGGGAAAGGAGACTGAGCACCACCGCTCTGAAGAAGGATACTGAGGGCTCTGCTGACAGCTCCTCTGCCCTCCCGATCCGGCCACCTGCCTCCTCAGCAGTACCCCCGGTAAGAGGAGAAGTTTTCCTATCTAACATAGGCGATCAATTCTTCCAGCTTTTCCATATCTGGAAAGAAATCTTTATTTCACTTTCATTTTGCAAGATTGTTTTTGCTATTCTAGGCTCACAGTATTTTCTTTCATTAATTAGAAAGGTTCACTGAAAACATTGACTCTTTTCTGTATTGCATTGTCTCTAACAATAAGCCTACTGTCATTCTCTTTGTTCTTCGTGCCTTTTTCCTGGCTGCTTTCAAGCTTTTTCTTCTTCATTGATGTTTTTGGCAATTTGATTATGTACATTCATGAAGTTTTCTTTATATTTATTATGCTTAGAGTTCATTTTGCTTCCTGGATCCTTTTATCAAATCAGGAAAATTGTTCAGCTATCATTTCTTCCCGGCATTTTTCTACTCTTCTTTTAGGACTGCAATTATTTAATATTAAGTTGTTTGAAGTTGTTCGATAGCTCACTGAAGCTTTGTATTTTTTCCTTTAGTCTGCAGAGTCTAATTTATTCTTATCCCTGCCTAGTATATATATTCCCCTTAGATTTTATATTTCTAAAATTTTGTTTTTAATCTCTAGAAGTTTGATTTGGGTTTTCTTTTATCTATTTGCATGTGTGTCTTTCACATTTTTTTCTTTAATATGCACATGATTTTCTTTATCTTTCAAAGCATATAGAATATATTTGTTTCTTTAAAAAAATTCTTGCCCATTATTTCTATAGACATTTCTTTTCTTTTTTTTTTTTTTTTTGGTACCAGGGATCGAACTTAGGACCTTGGGCTTGTGAGGCAGGCGGCAGAACCACTGAGCTAAATCCCCGGCCCTTTGCCCATTATTTCTATCATGTATGTCATATCTGTATCTATTTCTATTCCTATATCATATGTGTTCAGGTTGATTTTTCTCCTGATCATGGATTTTATTTTTCTGGTTCTTTGATGCTTGATCATTTTTTATGGGATGCCAGGTAATGTCAATTTCATACTGTTGCTAGAGGGTTTTCTTTCTCCTTTAAATACTTCTGAGTTTTATTCTTGGCCTTAATTCAGCTACTTGGAAATGGTTTCATCTTTCACAACTTACTTTCAAGCTTTTTAGGTAGGACAAGCAACCCTTATTTGCGGGCCAATTTTTACCATTACTGGTAGAGGCAGTGAGGTACCATCAATGATCTGTAAGCAAGAAAGGGGACTGATGGGATTCACATTTAAGAAAACCACTCTAGCAGCACGATTCTTCTGATAGGTGGAAGAGATAGGAAAGACAGAGAGAGCTCACTGCACACCCAGCTGCAGGCCTGAAGAAGCCCAGCGCTCCAGCAGCAGCCAACGCAAGATCCTGGAATACCAGGGTTAGGACCAGTGGTGTGTGGTAAGGACAAAACAAGAGGGAGCAGCATAAGTTGGAATGATCTGAGGCCTCCCACTCGGGCTTCCAGTGGAAGTGAGATCCCACATGATACCTTAAGCAGCGTTACCAGAGGCTGGAAGTTTCCAGTCCCTGCTTCTTGCATCTGTCAGTGCCAGGAGACTGTCTGTAGAAGAGGCAGAACCAGGACAAGATTCCCTGTCATTAGAGTAAAACTAAGCTGTTATCTGACAATCCAAGAAACCAAAACTGACCACATTAGCCAAATTCCCAAACAGCCCTGTCTCAATAGCCATTATGATGCAGTTCCCTCTGCCTTAATCTTCATTCACATAAGAAAGGTAACCTGAAGGAACTGAACGAATCAGCTATTTTCCCATTATTGCCTCTCTGTTCTCTGTAACTTTGATATGACTAGTGTATTCTTTGCTTTGATTCTGCTTCTTTCAGCCCTTCTCTTTCTATAAAACCAACCTCTTGTGTTCAGCCCATTGGAACACTTATTCTGTCTTATGAAATGAAATATTGCCTGATTTTAGAATCAAAACTAAAATCAATTAAGATCTTTAACCAAATTTTTGTAATTTTGCTCTTGGATAGTGTCCAGTTGAAGACACTGAGCACCCATGGTTTCTCCTGCCTATGACATCACAGACTTTCCTGTTCAGGGGATGATTTTCTCTGTGTCCATGTACCATCGGGTGCTCAGAGAGCTTGGCAAATTCCAGTCCTTTAAAGCACTATGTTTTTATAATGTGACACGATGCCTCAAAATTACATTAATAGCTCTGGTGCTGCAATTATATTAGACTGAGAATGACAGCCTGTCTCTCTGCCTAATGAAAGCAAGTTGATGAAGAATTTCATTCATAAAACATTGAAATGGCTCCTCCAGTTTTCATTGAACTATCCAGAGAAACTTCCTCAAGACCAGAGTCAAGGCCCAATCTGAGACCCTTCCTCCATCTGCATTTTCAGAAATATATATTCTTGCACAAGCAACATACCACATAATCTCTCTGATGCAGTAGCATGTTTTCTGGATGAAGATCCAGGAACTTCAATAAAGTGTCCAGTTGGAGTCATGACCTTAGAAATTAAATTACACTTCACCCACACCAGTGTGAAGAAAGAGTTAAACTTTTAAAAACAAAAAAGAAAGTTCAGCAAGTGAGACTTATTCACTTCCTCTCTCTTACCTCTCTTGGCTATGAATTTGAGCAAGAGTAAACTAGGTGTCTCTAATTAGCTTATCCAGATAAAAAAGTGCCTCTGACCCTGCTGGGTGGTCAGGAAAGCCATGAACTTGTCCCACCTGCAAGGGTGGTGGTTTTCCCTGAGATAAGAAATGTACTGGGCTCCAATGTGACAGCTAAAGAAAAGGAAATGTTAAACTAAGTATAACAGCTCATTCACTTTGCAACTTGGTGGGGCCTTCTTTCATTTCCTCTATCTTCTGTATGTGTTTCACACTTACGTACACACTCAAATGAGCCAGCCTAAATATAATGGCACAGCCACACTCAAGGATTCCTGTAGTTCTTAATGAAGGCCATTAAAAGCAAAAACAACAAAAACAAAAACTATAATGGAAGGTGATAGAGATCCATCTCAATATTAAATACCCTATTTAAAGTTAAAAGAAACTTAAGCAACGAGTTAAATTATTCACATAATTAATGTCATGCCAATTATCTGAAAAGACACAGGCCCTGAGTCTGGCTTCCAAACTGCTAACTATGGCCTCTCTCTCCTGGCACCAAGCAGGCAGCTCTCAAATGATCCTAAATACCAAAACATGCCCAGGCTATATTTCTTAAGCACTGAAGCTGAAATTTCCAACATAACAAACCTCAAAACATTTGGTTTCCAGCAGTGCCTGGATGAGTTCAAGCCTGATTTTGCCCAAGTCTGGGGTAAAAGAACAGAAGAATTTAAGAGGAGCTATAAGTGGGCTGGGTAAGGTGGAAGAGAGAGCAATAACTGGTAAGGAGGAGAGGGATGAAGTAAAACAACATTCAAATGATGGGCTGAAAATGGAAACAATCTCCTAAAAGGTTCAGGAGAAACAATATATTATTAAAAGATAATTTTCAGAAAAAGATAAAAATCATGATTCACATACAGATATAAAAATAGGCATGATAAAGAATTTATTTATTCTTGCTACCAGGAAACCAGGCAAATGTTCAAAGGAAAACACACAAATTTATATTAAGTAAAGAAAGGAATGTTTAGATGTATTACAAATGGAATCGAAACTGTTTTTTTTCCAAAGGGGGAGGAAGTCAATTAAATCCCTATCAGACAGGACAGAATTTATGTAGCTAGTAAAATTTATAGAGCATTGCAGAATAGGTCAAAGACAATGAACAGTAGAATCTGATAACCCAGAATGTTGTGCTATAGATGGTGCATAGTTTTCTACTGAAAACTTTTTCTGCAATACTCATAAAGGTTGTTAAGAGGACATCTCATTCTTTGAGGGGGAGAATATCCCTTCCCAGAGAGAATAGTGTCACGGGAGGTCAAAGCCCATGAAGAGGCAAGATAGAGACGTTGTTGAGACTTCTATGGCAGGGGTTGGGTCAGAAAGCAGTAATTTTATTATTTTTAAATTCAGTCAACACACGCACGCGCGCACACACACACACACACACACACACACGCACATGCATGCATGCACCAAACATGAAATAAGAAGTAGAAAGCTTAGGAGGTCATCTTGACTAATCTTCTAGTCCGAGGTCCGCATCTCACAGATGATGAGACTGGGACTCTAGGCTGGGCATGGCTCAACGTCACTCAGTTATATTTATAGTTTCTGGTCCTAGAGACCATTAGGAGAATGGTGAGAATCCAGGATTCACCCCTATCCATGCTGACTCAGGTACTCTTCTCATTGCTGAGGCAAAATACCTGACACCTAAAGTTAAACTAGGAAAGGTTTATTTGGCTCATGTTTTCTAAAGGTTTCAGTCCATAGCCAGCTGGCTGCAAAGCAGGGTGGCTTGGTAGAGAGGCATCGCAGAGGAAAAATAGTCCATGGCAAAGCAGGCAGGAGACGGTGAAGCAGCAAGCAGCGAAATAGCATTTAGGCTAAATGCCTTTTGATCGGTGCTGCCCATACCCAGGGTGGAGCAACTTAATCCCAGTATCATACCCTTAATCCACATTCACACATCCTATACCAGCCACCTTCGAAACTCCCCACCTGTGACCACATGAGACTTTGGAGAAACATATGGATGCAAGTCATAACATGTGAGTACAAAATATACATGCTTAATCAAAGCACATATTCTGGATTGGGTCTAGAATGCTTACCACATGGGTCACCTGCCTCTGTGTCACACCCCATGGCACCCAAAACACACCTAATCTAGTTTTGATAAACATAATTGAAATGACTACTTCACAGCAGTCTTTAAAGGCTATTTCTTTTCTTCTTTTTTGAGAAACATTTTAATAGCCCACATTACTCAAAATTTTAAAAAAGAGTGAAGAAATCTGAGCAACACATTCCTTTTCTTTGGATGAATTACCTTGTAACAAGGAGAGGGATTCCAGATCATTCCATTGTTCTTTCTAAAGTTAACTGTTTCAGCATTTAAGAATTGAAAGGCTAACAGATTGCTTGAGTTGTACAAATGTGAAGAGAAGGAATAGGGTTTGATTCTTCCGGGTCTTGAGATCTTTCTCTTTCCACCCTCTTCTCACCTTTTACCCTATTCCACAGCCATTAATGAGACAGTACTGGGGCGCTTTTTTTTTTTTAAATGAAAGAGCCCTAAATATCCCAAGTCACTTTGGCCTCACCACTTTTTGTAACCCTCTGGGGCTGGTGGTGGAGATCCTGCAGCAGAAAATAAGTTCATGAGTGGATAAAGTTGACAAAGGCTGAAGCCTAAGAATGAATTATAGGCATTGTAGGCAAAGAAACAGACTGCTACCTTATCTATTGTATATCTTCCATGCTAAAGATCATCATACCATCCAAATGTCCCCATGAGGTGATTTTCATGAGTTTGGAATGTAAAATAATGGTTCATCTGCTAATCACAGGCTCCCTTCTGACAGAGGCAGGTGAGAGCCAGAACCAACTGGGAACCAATGAGGGTTGTGGGGATTCCTGGCACCAGGATTCAAGAACAGCAAGGTGCTGTCAAGGACATCCTGATGCTTTTCTTTGGGGAGAAACACTATGTGTGGACCCCACTTCCAAGCGCTATTTGCTTAAGGAATGAGCTTTGCATTAAAACGTGCATGTTGGTGTCGTGTACCTTCTATTACAATATCATACAGATTCTATTTATTAAAACCTATAGAATGTACAACACAGTGAGCCCTAATGTTAATTTTCCTGTTAATTAATCATAATGTATCAAAATGGGTTCATCAGTTATAACAAACATGAATGTTCCATACTAATGTTAGTGATAGGAGAACCTAGGAGCAAGGGGGGACATGAAGAGTTCTTTGTACTCTTGTTTCACTTTTCTGTAAGCCTAAACTTTTTCTTAAAAATACAATTAATTATTAAAATGTAAAAGTGCATGTTGGGTCCTCTCTGAGCCTTTGGCTTTGGTACTTACTGGATGCTACCATCAACTGAGACCATCTGCACAAGAGAAAGAGCAAACTCTGAGGCAGAGAGGATATTTTGAGGAGGTTTGGTCATGATGAGTCCGGGGAGTATGAGGGACACAGAGATAGATACATTTTCTAGACCAGGAGACAGAAAAGTCTAGAATTCAGGATGCAAATACATGAGACTCATCATAATTTATACAACCATCAAACAGCAAACATGGATCCACTTCCTGCCCCCACTCTTGCTCATAGGTGTGAACGGCAGGGTGCCCAACTGTAGTTAGAACAGGGCATGCAGACTCCCCACCTTCCGCAGATGGGCTTGCTGCTCCGTATCCTTCTTGCTGGTGGAACACTGTGGTCCGTGTGGGCGAGTTAGATGTCATGATTCATCACCCACAGGGCTGGAGTGTTTGCTGCTGCTGAGGCCCAGTGGCTGGATATTCTGTCCATATTATGCAGGGAGGAGGGGCATCCTCTAGGCTGTGTCCACTGTCACTGGGTGATCTGTTTGCACCTGCCACGTCATTTGCTGATGACTTCAATCAGCTAAGGCAGCCAAGAGAAAAGAAGGAATGTGTGGGCAGAGCATTGAATCATCTGTGCATCCTGGCCAACTTCTGTGTTAGGTTCCCACCTAAATATACCCCCAACCTCTTCCTGTTCCTTCTCGATTGCCCAGGTACGCCCTCCTCCCTCTCCCACAGTCCAAGTCTCCATTTGGCCTTAAGGGCCCACTCACCTAGGCCCAGGGTTAGGGTGAACCCTATCGATCCAGCAGGCCTGGGCTTAGATCCGATTTGCACATTACACTTCACCTTTCTAAGCTTGTACTTCCTCTTTTGCAAAGCAAAGATAATATTAACCTCCAGTGGTCTTTTTGACAAGGGAGATGATGTGTTTTAGGGTTTTGTTTTGGTTTTTGGTTTTTGGTTTTTTTTGGTACTGGGGATTGAACTCGGGACCTTGCACTTGCGAGGCAGGTGGTGGAACCGCTGAGCTAAATCCCCAGCCCAAGATGATGTGTTTTAAAAGAGCCTAGCATGTACTAAGAGCTAACATTGTGGACTATTCACCTTTTAGCAGATAGTCTTCTAAGCACTTTACACACTTATTAACTCACAACAACCCTGAGATGCAATTATTTTTATTTTGGAGATGAAGAAACTGAGCTACAAAGAAGCAAAATGTTCAAGGTCCCACCCAGAGCTCACAAGTGGTGGAAGCAGAATCTCATAAACACACACACCCCTGCTGTGCTAGAGTGCTGGATCCAAGAGTCTAAGCCTCATTACCTCAGTGCTTCTCAGGAGAGGTCTCTGAACCACCCAAGAGCTACAGCAACAAACTGTCTGACATGGCCTCGGGGAGGCTCACTTAAGCCGGGGAACCACTGGCCAACACTTCTCATTTCACCTCCTTAGATGAGATCCTTTCCCATCTCTCTCCCACTAGGCACTAGGCACTTTGTACGTTATTGTCATTTAGGTTGGTCTTCTCATCCCCGCTCTAGGAGAGGTGTGGTCCCTCGCACAGATCCTGCAGCTCGTGATGTCTGCCCGAATCCCGCCCCTAGGGCCCCAGCACTGATCATCCTCACAACTGGCTCACATCATGTCCCAGCTCTTTCTCACTCCAGGCTCCCAACAGCGCCTCTGAACCCCAACTAGCAGGCTGAGCATCACTGGTCCAGGTTGTGGCGCCAGTCCTGGCTCTGGTCCCAACCTGCCAGCTCAGGGGCTCAGATCCAAGGCAACAGGCTTTAGAGGTGCTCTGTGACCTGCATTAGGGCAAGCAGCGGAGAGATCCCATGAGCAAGCCCTCACCTCGCACCCAGCTCCCCAGCCCCTTACCACCTGGAGCTTGCCTGTTGGGTTCAGTCCCTTCAAGTTGTGGAGACCTGGCCCTGAGCTCAAGACCCTGGCAAAGTCCTCCTTCCCTCCTGGACTTCACTTCCCCATCAGTCTCAGACTTCTGGTCAGCAGGCTCCACTGCTCTTCACAGTCAATACTTACTGCCACTTTCTCCACCCTTGACATTGACTCTCAGTGATTAGTGCTGACTCTCCTCAAGACTATCTTAGTCTCAAACCCCTCAGCACTTTTGGAAAGGAGCCCTTTACCTAGGAGCAAGGCTCATTTCCTGTGAAGGCAGAAGAGGCTGCCATGTCATAGGGCCACCATGACAGGCTTCATAGACCAGAAACAGACAGGAGTGGCCCTCTTCCTCCTAGAGCCCCAGCCCGCCTAGTGCGGCCTAGAGAAGTCTTTGCATCTGCCACGCTCCTGACCCCGACCTTCCCTCCCTTGGGACTGCCCAGCAGCTCCCTTGGGAGCCCTGACCTGATGATTCTCGAATTCTCTGTGGACCCAGAGTTTAGGCTTGGTCTGCAGGCAGGGAGGCCAAGGAGCTCTGTCAGGTGACCCAAGGGTCAGCTCAGAATGGGATTTATCAAGTTGTCTTCCAACTCTTATCAGATATTTAAGTCACTATTTATCACACCTTGGAAGGATAGGAGGGAGACTTAAATTTCCTCCCTCTTATGTCCCCAGAAAAGCAAGGCAGAGAAGGAATGAGCTCTTGACCCCAAGCCATGGAAGTTGGAACCCAGACTCAGGCTGGGGCCCTGCCTCTCTGGACACCCTGTCTATACTCAGCCTTGTTGCTGGAGCCCTTGGGTAAAGCCAGGGCACTGCAGAGGGAAAGCTGGCTGCCAGCCCTTGGAACTGGGCCTGTAGCTCATGCAGCCTGGGCCAGGGTGGTACAGGGAAGGACACAGGCTCTCTTATCTCAGGGACTTGAGCTTGAGGTCCAGTTCAGTCCTTCCCTTAGTGTAGGAATTGGGAGAGTCACCTAAACGCCACTCTTCCTCAGGCTTCATTAGGTTTTCTATTCAGAGGGAGAAACACTAGTTTTATAAGATTGTTGGGAGGATTCAAAGGACGCATGCACAGAGACTTGGGTGGTACCTAGCATCACTCATCTGTCCTGCCCCTTCACCCACTCCCCTTGCCTGTACCTTAATTCTCTTTACTCCACTCCTGCCCATGTTTGGGTTGATTCTAAGCACTAGAAAAAAAGGTGAGCTCATCAAAGAAATGACTTGAAACCCAGTAAGAGAACTCGAGCTGTCAAGAGAGTCTCTTCTGACTGTCAGAAATGTCAGACCAAGAGGCACTGCTGTAGAGGGTGGCCTGGGCACCTTGGGGACCAGGTGGCTGGAAATGTTGCTGTTTCCAGCTTCCTGGGTCTTGGAGCAGCATTCCAGGGTCCAAGGGCTGCCTCTGTAGAGACTACAGCCCATCCTTGGGCAGCTGCAAAGCCAGGGCCAGGCAGGATAAAAATGGAAAGTTACAAGCTCCCAGGCAGGGACAACTTAGTCTGCAGAAGAATTACCCCATGGAATAGAAGCTCCCTTAAGTCCAGACTTTGCCTTATGCCTATACCTAGGGCAGTGCTCATAGTAAATTAATAAATGAATCTGTTCCTTCTTTAAAACGTCCAATGGATTCACTAATGGGTAGTTAGGAAACTCAGATAAGCCAATGACATAAAAACTTACATACAGTAAAGGTAGTTAGATGGGTGGTCCTCTGAGTTTTTATACATGCAAAGTATGACCACCACTAAGACCAAGATCAATGCCAACACCACCAAGAAGTTCCTCCTGCTACTTCTTTGTGACAGATGCCCCCTTCATCCCAAACCCTGGTGACCACTGATCTATTTTTTGTGCCTTTAATTTTGCCTTTTCTAGAATGCAATATAAATAGGACAGTTTGTACCCTTTTGAGACTGGCTTCTTTCACTTAGCATTATGCACTTGCGATTTATTCAAGTTGTGTATGTCCATTGTCTTTTTTCCTCATTATTACAGAGGAATGTACTACTGTGTGGATGTATTACAGCTCATTTCTCCATTCATCCAACCAGAGACATTTGGCTTGTTTCCAGATGTTGACAACTAAGAATAATGTTGCTATATATATGGTGTACAACTTTTTATGTGAACACAAGTTTTCATTTCTCTAGTATAAATATCTAGAAATGAGACTACTGGGTTATATGGTATATATATTTATTATATATATTATATATATTTATAATATATATAATATATATATATTTATTATATATATATATATATATTTTTGGTACTGGGGATCGAACTTGCGACCTTGTGCTTTCGAGGCAGGAGCTGGAAGCATTGAGCTAAATCCCTGGCCCTTTATATATATATGTTTAATCATGTAAACAATAACTAAATTATTTTCCCCAACGGTGGTACCATTTTGCCTTCTCACATGAGAATTCCAGGAGCTTCACATCCAGTATTTGGTGTCGTTAGTATTTTAGTTATCCTAATAGGTAGGTGACACTGTCTCATTCTAGTCTTAATTGGCATTTTCTTAACGACCAATAACGTTGAGCACTTTTTCACATGTCTGTTAACTATGTGCCTTATTTGGTGAAGCATACTTCCTAACCTTTTCTTGTTTAAAACATAGACTTGTCTCTCTTCTTACTGAGTTCTAAGAAATTTTAAAAATATTTTTGATTGTTTTTCTATTATGGGTCATCCTTTGCCTGTCATATCTAGGAATGCTTTGCTTAACCCAAGATCACAAATATTTTCTCCTATATTGTCTTCTAAGAATTTCATAATTATGCATTTCAATATGTTTATTTTAGTTCACTTCTGAACAAAGTGTGGGCAGTAGGTTATTGTTTTTGTATAGGACATCTAGTTACTTTACCACCATTTATTGAAAATGCTACTGAATTGCCACTGTACCTTTGTCAAAAATCAACCAACCATATTTGTGCGTCTCTATTTCTGCACTTTTTATTCTACCCTATCTTTCATC